GAAAAGGATATGACGAAATTATTTTGAGAAGGTTTTAGCAGGCATCTATAGTCTATATGCAATTACCCAATCATATTATAAATTGAAATATCTAAATATTTCTCATCATATAGATATTTGTGAACAATCAATTTGTAATATTATTCGCTTTTACCCAAGGCTCTAACAACTTGACCTTAGCTATTATAGAATTACTGATATAATTATTGAGGAAATTGATAGTTCATCTCTTAATTTAAAATATCTCAATCTGAAGGGGTGTGATAATATTAGCAAAAAAGCTGTAGATCAGCTTGTTTCACTTAATCAAAATATTCATGTTGAAAATTTCGTGCTAATTCAGGTATCTCTTCTAGATGTAATCTATGAACTTGCAAGATGTTTAGGAATATCACATGATGCACTAAGAGATGTTACATTCTTAGATAATTTTATCATCGACGAATTATCAAAGAGATTGAGTGAATGCTGTATTCTAGCTAGACTATCACTCTGGAGTGGTGGTCAGTTATATAATTCAGTATAGTGTTGATAATAATCAGAATTCAGTTATATTTCAGATATACTGGCAACCTAACAGACAATCGCCAAGAATTTATTTTGATAGAATACTAGCCGATCAAGCAAAATGGTGGTACTCTACTAATCTAACTAATCTGGAGTAGTGATCATTAGCTCAGAAGATTTTTTGCACCCTATGCAATAGAAAAAATATAGATTAGCTAATCCATTCTAGACATGGGCACTATCTGGTGCTAGATGAATTTTTGATGAATATTTCGTGCAATTGTTAAGGAGAGACCTTCAGAAATAATGGAAGCCCTTCTCTAATAAAATAAAACATTTTTACCCTCCTATCAATAAATTTCTATATTAGCACACTTGAAACATTTTCTAAGAGATTGTGAAACTCCTCAAACTTTCAAAGATATGCTCTTGCAGTTTTATCGGCCTCTTCTACCTTTTCTTAGTTAAAATAACTAATAATACTGAGTTTCTCCTGAATTACCATTATATTATCTTCTAAAGATAAAAGCAAATCAAATAATCTAATTGGTTTATCTGAAGAGGCTTTATCCCTTTTAAGTTTCACTTCTAGAACAGGATTATCATTAATGTTGAGATTCTCCTGTATCGCTATTAAATCCTCTACCAATTCTAACAACAGCTCATATGAATCAGCAAGTATTTTTCTCATGAGCTCAGAAACTGAAAGCATTGCTAACTGATTTGCATTCCCACTAATACTGAGTTTTTTCTGAATGGCTACTATATCCTTCTTCTTATATAAAAGCATTCTATAAAACTGAGCAAGCGTTTCAATATTAATGTTCACCATAATTATTATAATAAAGTAATATATTTAATAAGGAAATCTTGTGTTCAGAATATTGATCATCAACCAGAGCAATAATCTTCAGCTCAGAAGAATTTGCTAAGCTATACACAGTGCCTTCAGCTAAATTGTGTGATAAAAATAGGATAATCACATAATAGGTCTATGTGATATTCTCGCATATTAATTTTATATATATATATGCTAACTAGTATCTTTATTTTTTTCTGAACAAACATGAGAAAAATGTGAAAGGAGGTCTACATGCAACACAGGACCTATCATAAAAGTAAATACTGATAGCAAAAGCATATGCTATGAAAGGCTTAGGACTTTAGAATTTTGAGATCTACAAGAACTAACTACCTCTGCGTCTCTCCAGTAGATCTAGTCTCTTTAGGATCTTCTCCATGTGAAGAGGTATGAAAATTCTGTTTACATATGCTTTCATAGAACTCTTGACATCATATGATAAAGCTAATTATGCCTCATACCTCCTTAACTTCAGCTTGGCATTCTTTTTCTTAGCTAAATATAAACATGTAGAGATAAGTGGAAGTTCAGCTAATTTTCTCCAAAAAATTTAAGGTATGTATATATTAAAAGTTATGTATGTATGATAGCGAGTTTTTTCTCACTACAGCCCTTGTATTTAGGAAAACAAAAAAAATGGCCAATATTACCCTTAGATATCTTATTATTCCCACTGGTCACTTCATTAGAATTTTACACAATAATGTTAATCAAACGATTATAATTTTTAACAGAGCTTTAGTTAGAAATCTTTACGCTTAGATTTAGCAACAATTACCACAACTATTTAGAGATGTTTCATTTTATCTTTGCGCATTTCATCCTGGGCCTATAAGATACGTTGTTATGCGAGAAGAGAGTTTGATTTCAGATTTTTTGATAAGAATATCACCATGGACGTTCACCATATTCTTGTAGAGGAAGATATATATAATTATTATAATTAGTAACTTTTCAAAGATTTTATGTATTGTAGGCTGGCTTTCAGCAACGTTTTTTATTCTTAAATAAAGTATATATTATGTTTTTGTCATAAATCTTAAAAAATGTCATGTGTAATGATGTAATAATATCACCTAACAATTCTGTATTACATCTTAATTGCATATATATTGGGCAAATGCATTATAAATCGATATAAAAATCTATACATCATTTCTACTTGAACGCTGAAATCAAAATACTTTTTTTATCCATAAACTAGCTTTACCTGTAACTGCAGTCAAGAACATATTTTTTTGCAAGCACAAAATCACATATATAAAAACTATAGCTTTACAATCCTCTACACCTTTTTCTCTAAGCTTAATAATAAAAGAAGTTTCTTCATGAATAATGTTAGATGTTATTAAGGATTTTAATATAAAGAAGCTTATTGAATATTTGAAGAAGAAAAACTTGAAGTTAGAGGAGTCCCACTTCAAAATTTTATGTAAGGAAGAAATAGCTGGTAGTGATTTTCTTAATACAAGTCTCTCTTAATTTTTCAAATTGGAGTATTATATATATTAACTTATTTTTCTCTGCCCGCAGTCTTTAAGAAGATTAGTGATGATGATAAGACATTTGAATACAGTATAGAAGACATTATATTAAAACTTTCAAATGTGAAAATCATGACTAACGCTAACGAGACGACATGCTGTGAATTTATTTCATCGATTCTCTATGCATCCATCACTATAGCTAAAAAACTTACCTTCCAAGATATATTTATAGTTTTATAGAAAGATATATCCAGTAAAGATGCAATAGGTAGAGTAGACTACGTAATCAAAGTCTAGAAAATCTCCTATGTATCACTGAAGGAAAATCTCGTAATATTAAAATCAGATATATGCAGGTAAATTTACTTTTTGTTCGTGTTTTATAAAAGATTCAATAGTATTAATAGCATTTTATTTTTTCTTTAGAATCTGGCACAACTTGAAAGTACATTCCAGACAAATAAAAAGAAGCAGATTGCAGATCAAGCATTTAGGAATAACTATTTTGACTATATCTATGATATTATGACCACAGGTACGGAGTGGTATTTTATCATATATATTCCATATGGTATCTTCTTCACAAGTGGTAGCGAATATCAGATTAATCTTACAAAATCCGCCGTTAAAAAAAATTCTGAGCTACTTTGAAATAACGTGAAAAGGGTAATAAGTATAATTGTTAGGTTGTTGAAGAATAGGGTTAGTGTAAATAGTTCCCCAACTAGTAAGAGGGTTAGGATCAAAAAATTAATCAAAAAATAATATGTATCGCAAGCTACATCCTGAATCTTTGTATTTATTTTTGCATGTATTAATAAAGCAATTTTACATTTACCACGTACATGTAACATTGAATAATTCTTTCATATATGAAAATATTATCTATCATGTCATCTGATCTTAAAGTATTGATCATTAAACTTGAGGCTAAAATAACTGATGAAAAAGCTAGATTTGAAGTATTGATCACTAAACTAAAATAGGATCAGGCAGAAATAGATGCTAGAATTTTAAAACTAGAGCAGGATCAGGCAAAGAGAGAAGCTAAAAAAAATTGTAAATTCCAGACTAGATGTATCCAGATAGTTAAGGAAATTCTTAATGAGGAATCTATTATTGAATATCGTTCTTCTTTCTTAAATGGATTAGAGCTTGATGCTTTTTTCCAAAAATATTAAATTGCATTAGAGGTGCAAGGGGCTCAGCATCGACTTTATAGCACTAGCTGGTATAAGAATGTTAAAAAACTCGAAGATATTGTTAATTGTGATCGGAAAAAATGATACATATATCAAGATAAAGGAATTTCCTTCTTGAGGTATGGTACGATGAAAAACCAGAAATTGTTATTCCTAAAAGGATACAAAAAATTAAGGAGTTTATTTGTCTAGTATCCAAAAGTTTTGATATTCAGACCATATCCTATAAAACATTAACCTCTGAATATCTAGATTGGCATGCCAAATTAAGTGGGTTACCAAGCGTTTTGACAGATAAAATTCGCCTCAAATTATATAAAAGATATAAGAAAGAAACTGGTCATGAACCATGGTAATTACCAAAAGCTGTGAAACAAACCTCAAGCCTCTGATTTTGAGCCCATCACTTTCGAAGCCAGATCCGATCCAGAATTAATTATCAAATCTGTCTTAGAGCACTTCTCATACTTGAAATTCCGAAATAGTTTTAGGGGGATTGATAATTATAATTTTGCATCATTTTCAGCCGTAGAGCTCACCATGTCCTATTTGCAATGGAAAACATAGGAATTATGGATTACAAGGTGAATGGTATAGGAATGGAACAGATATTGTCTTACTTGCTTCACTTCAAGCAATAAATCAAGTTCGCGATCATAACATAGAAATTTCTTCATATACAGTGGGCTGTATTTATTTTTTTTTATCATTCGTGTGTATTAATAAAGTACCATCACGCGATATATAAAATAGTGATGTGATCACGGGCCACGATCACTTTTTTTATACACAGTATTGTAAAAGTTTTTCCGGATAAATTTTTTAGCGATTTTTTTACTTTAATTGTGATTGGTTATCTATCACGTGCTACAAAAATTTTATATTCATATTGGCGCGCCCGCCGTGCCATCTTGTTTTTCATAAAATTACGGTACTAATACAATGGAACGTAAGCTTACAGAATATCAATATGTTTGCCAGCATTTGACAGATAGTACATTGGGTGAAAAAAATTTTTACTCGTATTTTGGTTATACTTCCTTATCAGATGGCATAGATGCACTTCAGAATATATTTAAATCGTTACGTGACGATGCTAAATTTCGTAACATTGCTGAGGGATATTTGAAGCGAGACAATTTTTTTAGAAACGATAAGATGGATTTTTATTTTATGAGAAAGGAGAGAAAGATGAAGGAGAAGAAGACTACAGAGAAAACGTTAACCATAGCGAACGAAAGACACGATCTGGCAACTGACATCGTTCACAATAATTTACTTAATAGTTTAAATAAAGTAACAAATAATTTAGAAGAGAACGAAGACGACAATGACGAGGCTAAATCAAGTACACCTCCTGTCAAAGTTGATAATAACAGCAATACACAGGCAAATAACTTGCTGTGTTATCTTGATCAAATTCCTCTTCACGCTGAATATTCACATATAAGAGAAGATTGGAAAATGGACGATATAAATTTAAGCAATAACCTAAAGGGGATTGGTATAATTAAACGCGGCCATTTTAACTTTTCAGATACGGATTGTACATCACAAATAAGTGATGAGCATTGTGACGAAGTTATCATCCCATTTTATCAAAACATAAGTTGAAAAATGCTTTTTCTACGGGAGGATGACGAAAAAATGCTGATAAATATGTTTGGCGAAGAAAAAAAAAGGATGCTCTTAAAACCAGGTAACCTAAAGTTGGTATACAGCTTGACGGATACCGAAGAGGACACCACAGAAGTTCTTAAAATTGTGAATCGAATATGATTAGTTCAATACCTTAAGGAATTTTCTGATTGTCAGACCCTGACTTCGCTGGAGAAACAATGGCCAATATCTCTTCCTTCTGATATATTGGATAAACGATTACGAGATATTTTGTGGGCATTTGAGCTCATAAAATGGGTGTAAGTGTCATCCTCTTTTACTATATCACATAATAACAGTTTTTCTTATAGGATTGTATAATGGCAGGACGGTACTTTTCTCGGGGAAATGAAAGAACAATGGGTTAAAACACAGTTAGTATCTCGACTTCTTGTGCCATTAAGTCCAATAAAGTCTAGAGAAATTGAATCAAATGCAGAAAAAATAGTCGCTAACTACGACAAAGCATTGATGTTACCAAAAATCAAAGCAAAAACTCGTGTAGATGGTTTGGATGATGCTGAGGAATTTGAGAATGTTTGGGTTGAACTAAAAGGTGGCCTTGGTAATTACCATGAAGCTGAAAACAGAAACAACCGTGAAGATTTAGAAGTTTTGTTTAAGGGATTCTTGACAATATCTGCAATGCAGGCCCTTACATTGCCAGAAGAAGCAAAGAAGGAAATTGGGGATCTTGAATTTTTCGGAATACAAGGTATTGGAAATCATTTCCAGTTCTGGGGCAGTTTTCAAGCTTTCAGATATCTCATGTGCTCCTACCTATTGGGAGAATTTCACCTTCCCTCATTTGAGGGAAGAGAGGGTAGTGGCATTCAAGATCTATTATATGCAATTAGAATCGTTTACTCATTTAAGGTATATATTCGTTTTTTTTTCAAAGGATTGCTTAGTTATACTCATTCATATTGCTCAACATACAGATAAGAATAGAAACCAGTAAATTAAAGTTTCACCAGGTCAGAGCTTTGGCAAGAAGTAAAAGAGTTTTTGAGGCTGATTCTTCGCCAATCAAAGCAAAGAGGGTTCGAAAACTTTCCGATATAACTTCAATAAAATGATACTCTGTGATGGTTATGTAGATTTATTTTTTTCACATGGTAACTAAAAATTATTAATAAAAATTAAGACATTAACTTTACACGTCTTTATATCTACCAAACTACCAAAGCTTTAGTTTTGTACATATATGTGTTTGCCGTTTCAGCCTAAAATCCCCTTAGTGTTCCTCAACGAATGTTATATGATATACCGTTGTGGACTGGGTTGCTGTGATTGTGAATATTTGTCCATTACTACTTGATATTAGATTTTGATATATGCCGTTGCAGCCTAAAATCCCCTTAGTGTTCCTCAACGAATGTTATATAACATACCGTTGTGGACTGGGTTGTTATGATCGCATGTGACAAAAATTAAAACATCTTTTTTGTATGGTGCGAACGGCTTAATCACATCAAATAGTTAAGCCACCGCTGAAATTTATGCCGATCACTACCATATTTAATACGTGATTTTATTGGTCGAATTTATATCACGTGATTAATTTGTGTCACGTGATTAAGGAATTTCACAATATTTTCGTGATATTTTCGCGATATTTTATTAACACCCGATAGTTTTTATTCTTTTTAATGAAATTTCAATGCCAAAATAAAGTAAACAATCCAGACATAATCGAGAAGCTATCAGAAAATGTTGGAAATAAGCAAAAAGCTTTGAAGAAACTGCTCTATTAACATGTGATGATGAGTTATCAGATGCCGAATCTGATAATTTTGAT